ACCCCTTCTCACCCCCTTAACCATGCCTTTTCCTCCGGTGCCATCATCAGGAATCACCTCCCTTCTGGGCACAGCGGACCACGTTCTGTGCTTGGAGTATGCTGACGAGCGGTGGCAACTACAGGGCTGTAAGTTCCAGCCCCGCCCCCACCAACGGGCAGCCTGGTGCACAGCTGTGCTGAGGTGGGTGTTGGTGTGGGGTGGGAGGGACTGGGTGGTCTGAGGGCGCGCCTATCCAGGGGTGTGCAGCCCCCAGCCACACACATCGAGGACTCCGCCGACCACACCTGCAGCGCACACACGCTACATCATTTTTCTGGAAGTGCAGAAGCAGCTGACGGTGGCCATTCCCACTCCCACAGGGCGAACAGCAGCACCACTGGGCCCTTCCAGAAGTATCTCCTTAAGCTGGGTTCCCATTAACTTCCTGATCTGGCCAGAAAAACCACCTCCCCACTGCCACCCTTACACCGGCAGCCACTCTCCCACACCTGCCACCTGTTCCTTCTTCCACAGCATCTACGAAGCAGAAGAGCAGAGTTTTGTCTCAGGTAACTCCCATCCGTAGCATCCTGATGTCTTCACAGCCTTTCACTGGAGCTGGGTGGGCGTGCCTGGTGTGGTGTCCACTCATTCAACCCTTGTCGGTGCCACTGTGGGGTCGTGCCCACAGACCACATGTCACAGACACACAGACGCATCCAGCTGCCTAGGGGGATGGTGCATGAGCGACTATCTCCTTGGTGCAGACCAGAAATTATTGCATTATCTTCGTCCTCTGGGTTGCAGTGACAGAATACCATAGACTGGCTGGCTTGTAAACAAATTTTGTAAACAAAATTTATTTCTCACAGCCCTGGAGGCCGAGAAGTCCAAAATCAAGGTGCCGGCAGATTCCGTGTCTGGTGAGAGCCCTCTTCCTGGTTCACAGACGGCCGTCTTCTCACTGTGTCCTCACATGGCAGAAGAGGAGAGGGAACTCTCTGGGGTCTCTTTTATAAGGACACTAATCCCATTCATGGGGGCTCCACCCTAGTGACCTAAGTACCTCCCAAAGGCCCCACCTCCTAATACCATCACACTGGGGATTAGGTTTCAACATACGAATTTAGGGGGACACCCACATTCAGTCTATAGCACACGGTCACCCCTGCACGACTGTGACACTCACTTCTGAATAGATAATGGCATTTTTCACACCCACATTTTTCACAGCCTCTCGGGCTCACGTGACAGATGGTAAAATCAAGGCCATAGTTAAAGGGTAAAACTCACAAGTTCTTGATGAAGGGGATCATTTGCCCCACTCTAAAAGCTGAGCTGACGTCTCCCTGACAGGTCCAACTCAGCTCTGCATCATGTTAGCGAGAGCTCAGATGGAGGCAGGGAGGCCAGTGGGCTGAGGCCGAGGTAGCCAGGTGTGGTCTTGGGCATAATCAGTCAGACGGACTTCCCCTCTCCCTAAGCCGTAAATGAATAACAGTACTAGGTGCTTACAGTTGTTTGTGGTTAAATGAGATACTACATGTAGCATCCTTAGACCAGAGACTGCGCTTCATGCTCAGCAGTAAAGGTGAGGTAAGAACAACCAACATCCCCTGCATTTCAGCCTCACAGCAGCCCAGACAGCTAGGCACTGTAACCGTCACTTTACACATGAGGAAGGGCAGACCCCGTGCCATTAAAATCTGCCCCACGTTGCACAGCTAGAAAAAGATTTGAAAGCAGAATTAGGGAAGAGTGGGATTTGCCAGTTCCACCAGAGGGGCCCAGACAGGAAACCTGGTGAAGGCCTTCAAACTGCCTCCAGAAGGGAAAGGAAATTAACTTTATGCCCAGTCACTATGTGTTTTAAATAAGAAAAAAATATGTGTTTTAAAAACAGAAAAAAGCTGTTTCCATAAAGCAGGGATCAGCTATCCTGGTTATCTCCTTTCATCCTCATAAAACCCCTACATGGTCTGTGTTTTATAGAAATGGAGGACCAAGAAGTTGAGGTACCGGGCCCAAGGCCACACAATGAATAAGTGGCAGATTTAGGATTCCAGCCCAAGGCTAGCTGGTCTGGGCACCCTTGCCCTTGGCAGCAGGACTGCCATGGTCACAATACCTTTGAATTCCTCAGCAGGCCCCGTGCCTGGACTTTCCAACCCTCCCTTCCTGTCTCTGCCTGCCCACATCCACCATGTGCATTTTCATTAGGCATCTTTGCCCAGTGATCTGTTGATTTGTTATATTAGAATTGCAAACAAATGCTCTCATTCTGTCCTCTCGTCCCCCCTCTCCTGCCCTCCTGGCATCTGGAATTCAGCATTGATTTTTCTAGCCCCGCTCCACTGCCTGACTGACATTTCTGGTTGATTTCGCCTTAGAGACCTTCAGCTGGCTCGCCAGGTTCCCACGGGAGCCTGGATGGAACAGCACATCACCTGGAGAAGCTGACGTGAACCTCCTCTCCCCCCACCCACTTCCCTGCTCACAGGCACCAAGACTCAGCGACCCCTGGACTCTGTTCCCATCGTTCCTAGTGGATGGGCACACACTCCTCTCAGACCCCATCAGGGATCCCATCAGGGATCTCAACGTGGAGGGGAGGCAGGGGGAAACTGTAGGAAGTGCACATCCCTGTGAGGTAGGACCAGGTAAGCCTTGACCTCTTAAGTACTGATGTTTTCAACCAGACCTGGGTAATTTGACATCTTGTCGATGATGAAGGGGATTACCTTGGAGCAAAATGGATCAGAAGGTATGAGGAAGATGGGCTCAGTGAAAAGGGTGCAAAGGTGACGGGATACCCTCTTGAAAACAGAGGGGTCCTGGGCTTCCCTGGTGGCTCAGTGGTTGAGAGTCCGCCTGCCGATGCAGGGGACACGGGTTCGTGCCCTGGTCCGGGAGGATCCCACATGCCGTGGAGCAGCTGGGCTCGTGAGCCATGGCTGCTAAGCCTGCACGTCCAGAGCCTGCGCTCCGCAACGGGAGAGGCCACAACAGTGAGAGGCCCGCGTACTGCAAAAACCAACCAACCAACCAAACACACACACACAATAAACAGAGGGGTCCTGATCCCTAACCCATCAGAAGGCTTCATGTAAGTTTTCTACAAATGGATTTAATAATCTTCAGAGGTCATCTAAGTCAGTCTTCTTTCCAGGCCACACAGCATAGCTCAGAAAGATGAGCTTCTCTCCTAAGTTTAAGAACTCCAACAGCCACAAAGACCCTCTCTCTCTCTCTCTCTCTCTCAACTTTCAGTTTCTATCTCTGATCATTCTGTTGGGATACTAGGTACTAAATGGAGCTACATTTTCTTTCTTGAAATTCCCATCCCCAGGGGATGCTACCCAGTGGGTACCCAACCTGGTATTTTATGGAAGCCACCACTCTGCCGATAAGATCTGGACCCAGTGCTCTGTGAAGTGGTCAGTGGTGACCAGCTCAACAGGGAGGGGACCCACAGTGGTGCACAAGCTCAGGACAGCCGACTGTTAAATTTTAGGGATTCTGTGATCTGGTTGTTAAACCACTGGTGGCTTGAGCTCATCATGGTGGGAACAGTTACATCACAGAAATTGGCATATGCTATAAATCAGGGCATGTTTTTCCCCTGAAGAACTAGGAGTTTATTGAAGAGAGTGCCCAGTCATGTGGTCAGCTTACATAGAGGCCAAAGTCAAAGAAAGGGTGAGTAAGATGGAAGGGATGGAGGCAAGTCAAGGAATCCATACTCTCTCTTGGAAAGAACAACCTTTAATCTAACAATCATCCCTCCTTCTCATCTAACCAGGTACAAGCTCATTCCCTCTGCATCGACGTTACTTCTTCCCAGAAAAACTATCACTGGTCATGCTCTCAGACCTAAAATGGGAAAAGCTGAAGAGACAGATGAGACCCTGGATTCTATCATTTCTCAAAAGCCACGAGTTGGAGATACAAGAACCAGCAAACAGCACTTGACCAGAGACGGAATTCTAGACGCACGTTTATATGAAGCCCAGCCGTGGTTCTCTCCAGCTCTTCTTGTAGAAATGTTTACTCTACCCAGCGAACTGATGAGCTCATCGAAAGCAGAGACTGTGCCTTTCATTTCTTACATGTCCTTGACGGTGCCTGGTAAGGTACTAAAGACACAACAGGTAACTCACAAATATTTGGTTTATTAACTGAATTGCTTTGAATTGAACTGAGTTGGTGACAAACCACTCACTGGCTTATTATCAGAGCCCTTTTTTCTAATGAGGTGAAAATTAGCTGCTGGCTAGACAGACAGATACTAGGTCATACATGATCTTGACCTTGGAGCCTCACTTGAGCCCATGCCTGGGGCTCCACCTCATTTCCATTTTCCCAGTTGACTGTCTTCCTTCTTCACCATTTCCTGGGCTTCTGGTCTCTTGTTAAGAGCCATTCAGTTTGAGGTTGTGGTTCTCAGTAAGCTACCACCTTGGTCCCTGATAATATTCAACTAGGTACCGGGAACATCCCCAGATAAGAGCAACCCAAAGTCCAGTCTGGCCAAGGGAACAAAGGTCCACATCCAAAGTGGTTCAGAAGCTAGAGAAGCCATTTCCCGAAAACGTCCTGCTTGATCAGTGTTTTTCCCACAGTTGATTCATTTCAGGGAAATGAGTGCCCAGGGATCTGAAGGGACATATCCTGGTCTCCAAGCCCCAGCTCTGTACCCACAAAGGGTGTGGACGCACCTCGCTGGGAATCTGTCCTTCTCTGACTCCCCTGTCACACCTGAGGGCCTCCACTTCTCATGCTTCTCTGCCTTTCCCAAACTTCACCCAGAATCAGGAGCAAGGTGAACCTCGGTCCCCAGGACAAGGGGCTAAGTTGCTGATCAAGACGCTGCCTCTAAGGGGAGGCCCATCCCTCCCCACCTAGTGGCTGCTGCCACCCACAGCTACCAGTGGGTGTTCACCTTGTGGGTGCCAAGAGAGCTCTGAGAATCTTCTCAAAGGCTCTGATAAGTGCTCACTCACTCACTGTGCTCACAGATGACTTCAGAGGGTTCATAAGCCTCCAGAAGCTCAGCTGGGGGCCCCAGGCCAGTGACTGCAGGTTGAGGACACCAGGTGAAATGCCTCTCTTACTCACATCGTCCATTTCCTTCCTGGACACCAGCTCCTCTTTTTCATCTCTCAAATCCCTTCCCCCCTCCAGGAAGGAAGAGGACTGTTTCATGAGATCCCTCCAAATTACAGGTGAACAAGTTGACATCATAGAGGCTACAGAAGAGGCCCGGGCTCACACCGTAAGTTACTAAAAGGGATGGGACTGGGATGCAGGTCCGGGAGGCTCTCCCTGGTGCTCAAAGCAGCTACATGATGCTGTTATGTAATGCGGTTTCCGTAGATCTCAGAAACAACCACATCAAAACCCGGGCCTTCTGTATACTTCTCATCTAGGAGTTCCCACCAAAAGGTTTCAAAAAGGAAGGAAGTGCACCTCCTGGGGAGCAGGTAGGTCTCCGCACAGACTAGGCGGGACAAGAGAGCAGCTTTGTCCGTCCGGGGCTGACATCTAGAGGACTGAAACCTGACACACCGCCGATGCCAGCATTAATGGGGGAGCAATAAGAGCCCATTAATTTCAGTCCTGCTCCATCAGCAACAAGTGGACACATTCACCTCACTCCCCCTCCCCAACTCTTCCGACCACTTGGCTCCTGAGGAGGGCTGTTCCCCACCAGCAGCTGCAGGGATGGGAGTCGACTGGGGAGGCCAGAAAGGCTTGGACCCTTCCCGCCCCTCCAGAGTATTCTCGGCATGTCCATGAGTAAGGACTCTGTTCCATTCTGACCTGGAGCTGTTCTGGGCAATTTGGAGGTCCAAAGAGGCCCAAGTGGGTAAATGTGTCCCTGGGCCTCTTGCTTCATGGCTCAGGACCCCAGCAGGAGCCAAATCTTAGAGGCCTCAGAAAGAAGATGATTCAAGCCTGAAGACAATTCCTGGATTACACTCTCTTCTGTATCCATCCCTCCAAATAGGGATTGTACAAACTCAAAGGTCCTGGTTGCTAATTCAGGGCAGGCCCTTATTAGCAGGACCCACCCCCTTCCTTTTTTTTTTTTTTTTTTTTTTGCGTTATGCGGCCTCTCACTGTTGTGGTGTCTCCCATTGCGAAGCACAGGCTCCGAACGCGCAGACTCAGCGGACATGGCTCACGGGCCCAGCCGCTCCGCGGCATGTGGGATCTTCCCAGACCAGGGCACGAACCCGTGTCCCCTGCATTGGCAGGCAGACTCTCAACCACTGTGCCACCAGGGAAGCCCCCACCCCCCTTCCTTTTAAATGGTGGTTGGCTCCTATACCTACAGGAGACCATGTACAGAAGGAAAGTGACAGGCCGGGTGGAGGAAGCCCAGACCACAGGGAATCAGGGCTGACCCTTTACAGCCAGCGCCTTACCCACACTGGCCCGGAAGTGCTCGCCTGGTGAGCAGCAAGGAGGACAGCTGTCTCCTACCTCCGCGTCCTTCGGCTGAGGTCTGCTTGGGCTCCTTGTGTCCCCACCCTGAGGTTTCCGGGGGTTTCCACAGGGAGGGAGTTGGATGCAGTGGCAGTGCTTTCCCCGTTAGCATCACCTCCACCAACCTGAACTGACGTGCTAAACAGCTCAGGAGGTGGCTGAAGTGGAGAGTCTAAAAAGGCATACCGTTCTAGTCCTCCGACAGGTGGGGGATCTACCGACACGTGGGAGTAGACATTAAACACAAACATTAAGCCACAGAGAAGCCTACCCCCAAGCAAAAATTTTTAAAGAGGGCTCTCTTGCACTGATCTCCAGCAAGTAAAGGACGTTCCTTTTTTGGGCCCCCTTGCATTTTGTTGTTAACTGTGCCTGATGTGTCCAGCGGGGAAAGGGCAGTGGGCTGTGAGCTGTCAAGAACACATCTTTGCCCGTGGAGAGCTTTCTAGGAGAAGAAGGAGCTGAGAGCTTGATTCCTGGGCCCAATGGGATGCCAGGAAGGGAAGGCCATGCCAGGCCCACTCAGAGAGAGCAATCTTGCACCCCTCAGCTGCCTCAGTGGCCCGGAACTGACCAGGCATACCAGGCTGGGGTCCACACAGGCACGGGGGTAGAACGTGTGGGCTGTGCAAGTTTACTGCAGCAATGACCTTCCTAGAGATGACGGCCAATGAGCCTCCTTTTCTTAAATCAGTAAAATTTCTGCTTCCCTCAGGGTTAGACTGGACCTTCTTCCAAAATGAGGCTCCAGGCATCAGACACCAAAACATTACATAAAATTGACTGCCCTCTTTCTTCCCCAGTAGTTCCCCCCACCGCCATTCCAAAAAAGGCACGCTGGAAGGACATACAAGTGATTCTTGGCCTTTCTCTTGGAGTCGTCATGGGTTTATTTTTGTCTCAAATCTGGTTAAGCTTTAGGAACCAGCGTAAAGGCAAGAAAATGTTTTCTTCCCCTGCTTTGACCAGGGGGAATGTTTCCAAAAGAAGTCAAAAGCAGTTATCTGTCATCATCTCCCCCAACAAAGCACCCAGGCACCATGCATTTAAGACAAAGGGAAATCAGTATGGATCGAGAGATGGAAGAGGCACGAGTGAAAGGCAAGGCTTCTGCCTCCCATGTTAGGGTCCCACCCACCGTGACACATTCCAAGTCCTTCAGGCCTTCTCAACCCAGGGCAGCTCACCCAGGCCCATCCACAGCAAGCACGAATTAGTAGGGCTCCAAACACAAGGGGAAAATGTCATCAGATGGTCTAACGCTGGAAAAGCAATGGTGGCCATGTGGTGCTGAGGAGTCCAAAAAGATGCGGCACAGAGCAAGTTTCTGGGCTCAGATCCCTCCCGGAAACGGTCATGAAAGAGCACGCACACACTATGAGGTGTCGCATGAGAGGCTGTGCTCCCAGCCCCCGGGAAGAGGATGCTCTGCCCTCTCCCTCCGTGCAAGGGAGGACACAAAGGAAGGCAACACCCGCATCTGCACATGAGCAACTCTATTCCAACCCAAGCTCTCTGGCCTCAGAAAGGGAAGGGTCGGGAGGATACAAGCACCAGCGCAGGGGACCAGAGGAACAAGTATCAGCTGGGAGACAGCTCCCAAGACGGTCGGAAATGAAGGCCTTAATTACATTCCTCCGTTGGCTATGACCTGGGGTCACCACACACCAGCAATTATTTACTCTGGCAAAGTGATTAGGGAATTGGGGCCAGGGAATTGGTGTGCTGGGGTAGGGGCACACGGGGGTACAGAAGATGAGGAATGGCGATGGGAATGATGCTCTTTTTGCATCTGACTCCTCCTAACTGGGGTCAGCACAGGCATCACTGAGGGAGCTGTACCCCGGGTCAGGTCTACTCTTTGGTCATGATGACATACCTGGAGGCCCAAATACAAAAAGAGAGTAAAAGAGAAAAAAAGAGAAGAAGGCCAAAGAAACAGTTGCCCACTAACAGGTGCAAAGCCTATGTAAATCAGACAGAGGATGGAGCAGTTTCAACAAACCTGCCCTATGCCCGTGATAAGAGCAGGAAAATCAGATCAGGCAGATAGGACGACAGCAAAGACAGGACAGGCTGGAGGGAAAAAGGTGATACAGACCTTAACAGGGACTAATGCTATGGGGTACTGCTCCTCTGCGTGCAGTCCCCGGACCAGCAGCGTCAGCATTTCCTGGGAACTTGCTAGAAATTCAACTTCTCAGGCCATACTCTGGGTCTATTGAATCAGAAACTGGGGCCCGGCAATCTGTGTGTTGACCAGCCTCCCGGGTGATTCTGAATTACATTCAAGTTTAAGAACCACTCTGGGCTTCCCTGGTGGCGCAGTGGTTGAGAGTCTGCCTGTCGATGCAGGGGACACGGGTTCGTGCCCCGGTCCGGGAAGATCCCACATGCCGTGGAGCGGCTGGGCCCATGAGCCATGGCCGCTGAGCTTGCGCGTTTTTGGGTTCTATCCTTTGCCCCCAGTGAGTTTTTTCAAAGTTTGTGTTCAAACCACCCCTTGAGGCTGGACATTGCTTTCAATGAAAATATAACCACTTTATGTACAGAGATTTGTCTTTGACCGCATCCGCAGAAATGACATTCGAGTGTGGTTTTTTCAGAAGCAGCAGAATTTGGTTTGCCCCGAGCACTCAGCAGACCCTTGTCCCAGCTCCTTTGTGTGAACAGCAGGTATGTGACAAGTAGCCCACTGGGTGCAGGGTGTCTGTCATCACCACACTGTCCTGTCTGCAGGGTGGCAGTGGCATCAGTACTGAAACTGAAAGTGAAGGAAGCAGGTGCTGAGCACCTACTGTGTGCCTGGGCATTTCACACACAGGATCCTACTTAATCCTCACACAGCCCCGTGGTGTGGATAGGAAAACATGTACAGAGGGGCGAAGTTATTTGATCGAGGCCACACGACTACTGTCTCCTCCCAAAGTTCCTGTTCGTGCCACTACGTTGCATTGCCTTCTCCTCCTCCAAAATTATTAAAAGCACAGCCCCCCTCCAAACCCTCCATTTCCTGTGCAATGAATTTGCAAAGCCACAAAACCGAAAGCTGCCTCATCTGCCATGCAAGAGAAAGAGCTCGGGTCCTGCGAAGGGCATGTCCTGGCTCTAGCCAGAGCCGCTGGGAAACGGCCCTGCAGAGACCAGGCAGAGACGACCTTGTTATGGGCTGAACGGTGTCCCCTAAAATTCGTATGTTGACGTCCTCACCACAGCACCTCAGGCTGTGTTTGGAGATAAGGTCTTTAAAAGGTAATTAAATTAAAATGAGGTCATTAGGGTGGGCCTTAATCCAGTATGGCTGACATCCCTATAAGAAGAGGAAATATGGTCACAGACAGGTGCATAGGGAAGGCCATGAGAAGACAGACAGACATCCACCAGCCAAGGAGACAAGTCTCAGAAGGATCCAACCCTGCCGACCCCTTAATCTTGGACTTCCAGCCTCCAGAATCATGTGACAATAAACCTCTGTTGTGTAAGCCATGGAGTTTATGGTCCTGTGTTATGGCCACCCCCTTCTGTCCCCACCGTGAGCTGTCCGCCTTCCCACAGCGCCTGCCGCGGCCCTGCTGGGCCTGACGCTGGCCGGCAGAGCGGGGGCCCCGCACCATGGCCCTGGGCGGGGCCTGGAGGCTGCAGGGGTGCCACCTCCCAACCACGGAGGGCCCACGACCGCAGGGGGACGGGGGGCTCCGAGGGGCAGCACCGCCTCCAGCCTCCGGCCTCGCCTAGGCTCCCCGCACCTGCGCGGCCGGGACCTACTCCGGTCGTTCTGGTGTTTACCTCCTGCCCGGCAGGTGCCCGAAGAGAGAGCACGAAGCCCTGACGGCTGAGGAAGGAGACGTCCAGAGATAAAGGGAGACTCACAGAGAACAGGGTCGCGTCAGGAGCCGGGAGGGGCAGCTGGCTCCCAGGATGGCGCAGAGGGAGCGGAAGGGAGGCAGGTGGCAGCTGTGCGGCAAAGCAAAGCTGGAGAGAAGGGAGAAAGGGCCGGCGCAGAGCAAGTGTGCCGGTGTGTGCACCACACACACACACACACACACACACACACACACACACACAGCTGAGGGGGCTGGCCGTTTGCATGGACACTTAGAGTCACGGCAAATCCCAGCGCACTCCCACAGACACCTGCACACCCGCACCAGTCACAGTCTGTACAGCTTTGGGGGGCACCGCAAGCTAGCTGCTGAGTGAAGGT